TTTGGGTTAAATTGGTAGATACAGCAGTGATATTGTGTTTATCTGTGAATCAGGAGTGTGCTGGATGTGAAGAGAGGTGTGTAGGTATTTATCCAAACGCCATAGGAAAAAATATGGTTAAGACACCACAGTCAAATGGTACTTGTGATGATTGGCACAGTTATTATTTATGTTTGTGTTCGTCATTGCCTGTGTTTTCATTCAAGAACTTTCAAGCAAGGATATTTTAAGCAGAAGAAGGAGAAGCACTGGACACTATGCTCAACTGTTGCTGTAAGGAGAAATATTGCTAAGAGTGGTGAGAGTCAGAACAAAATGCATCAGGAGCAGGAAACTTTTACGTCAAGGTGGTTAATGGTATAAAGAAAGAAAAAACAAAACAATGTGACCACAAACACACAAAAGTCCTTGATCGCATGAACTGTTTCATTCATCCCTGTCTCCATGCGTATGTTCTATGAGACTGTCGAAGAATAGAGTATTCCAGTTTCCAGGACTAATGTTTCTGAAAACTCCAGGCACACAGACCAGCCAGAGGCTACAGAAATCGAGTCGGTCTGTGCCATGATTCATAGGTGTTATGAGTTTGCGGTGTCTAATACTATATTAAGCTCCAGAACACATCCTCACATGAACACAATATCATTGGTTAATCTAATAAAACATGGTTTGAGTTGTTCATTATTATAAGGGTGGGTATGTGCCTGTTTCCCAACTGGTAATGCATGTGCTCAATGGTGAACATTTATATAAGCAATAAAATGTTAATGGGTAATAATTAATGGGTAAATGGGTATCGTTCTTCAAAAGGTGGGTTTTGTTGTAGGGCAGGTAGTGTTAAAATGGGGGAAAATTCAAAATGTACTGGTTTTATAAATGCTTGTTTTATGACATAAGTCAAAGGGTGGTTTGTAATGGTATTTATTAATTAATGACTTTACATCATAAAGAAAGCATATTTAGTGTAATGCTTTGGGGGCACCACTAGGGGGAGTGTGTAGGAAGACATGTGCTTCTGGCAGTGACATCACAGGCCAGCCTACTTACACTGAATAAAACCAGATGGAGGAGAAAACTCTGTCCCTTTGCCTGTACCTGACTGAACCTAAGATGTAGTACCAGCTCTGACTTAACCCCAGCCAAAGGGCTGGGGCCTTGTAAGTAAAATGAACATTTAGCAATTGTAATAGCCTTTTGTGTAACATTTAGCAACCTTTTGTAAGTAATATGTTGTAGTTTTGTATTGTATAATTATTGTAGTAAATTGACATTCTGCTAGCATCTGTTTATTTATTATAGTTATATAAAATATACATTTAATATTACAACGTTTTGTGTATTTTCTATCCACATATTCGACCATAATACCATGAATTATAACAATATTAATGTTGTTCCGTATTGCTTAATTATTATGTATTAAGAGATTAATATTCATATGTAGGTCACGACCACAACATTGTGGAACTCACTTCCCTCCTCTGTTAGATGCTCACCCAGTCTCCACTCCTTCAAAAAAAATCATTAAAAACCCTGTTCTTCATAAAAGCGTATCAATTAAACTGTTAATAGCTCCTGACTAATTCTTCTCTTGCAACTGTCATTAGTCTAATACTATCCTTACCTTTTGTGTCACTTTACCCCACTCCCTCCAGCATGTAAACTCATTGAGCAGGGCCCTCAACCTCTCTGTTCCTGTGTGTCCAATTTGTCTGGTTACAACTACATGTTTGTTCGCCCACCCACTGTAAAGCTTTGCAGAATTTGTTGGCACTTTATAAATAATAACATAATAATAATAATAAGTCTATTGATGGAAGAATGGTATCATTAATATTACCAAAGATTTTACATATATAATGCAAATTAATATAGGTAATTGATAACGATTCACCTGAAATACAAAACACCTTAGTGCATATACATCCCGTGCAAGGGATGGGTAAAAGCATAAAACATGAATACATTTCAGAAACCAAATCATGGGGTAACGGTGGTTTGGGGGACACAAGACAGGATTAGTATGGGTTTATTACACATCATTTAGTAATTTTAATGATTATAATTAAGATGTTATTCTTCTTTAGTTGGCATATGTGTAAAAGAGTAAATCGTATACAGTCTCAAATGGTAGACGTTGAATACAGATGTAAATATCTGACAACAAAGTTAGAATCCTATAAGGAATTGGAGTAAGTTATTATGATGCATTACATTTTTAAAAGTATCACGGGGGGGGATGAAATATATTTAATGAACTTTAAATATCTGATGTGTTGTAGAATTTTATCTTTGTGATATTAATATTATCATTTTTGTATTAGTTGAAATTCATTTAATTTCAAAGTATTTTCAGACACAATAACTGAGAGACCTTATTCATCTGTATATCATTGGTCGCCACATATGGTTCTTGTTGAGATAATGATTGATGGAGGCCTGTTGATATTAACCTTTAACCCAGCATTGCAAACCAGACTCCCATGTGTATTAGACTTCCATTGCAAGTCAGACTCCCATGTGTATAAAATATTTGCAGATGGAAATTCCTCACCAATACTTTTAACAACAAAATTGGATACTATCTTGCTAAGTGCTTACAACTAGGAGAGAATTGCAGTAAATTAAAAATATATATATTTTTCTTCAGAATATGGGGCTGTAGATCTGCAAATCCCAGTTACAAAGGACACACCACTGATGCTGCTAACTCATTACTGCCCATGATTTTCATAGACACATACTGATATAAAATACATGTGATTTTATTTTGAAAATACTTTTTGACATATATGCTAAAGTAAATACACTTTCAATGTTAAATTCATGTTTCATCTGCATTTCTTAAATTAATTTGTATTTTTTCCTTTACTACCATCTAAATTAATCACGATTTATTGAGAAGGTAGAAAATTACAAAGACTAGAGCTAGAAGTAAAAACCATAAAGAGCCATAAGCCCATTATAGTAATTAAAATATCACCCATCAGTGTCATGTTATTTGCCTTCTTTTGTCATGTTATATGTCTCCCGTGTCTGTTTATATTTCTAATGTTGTTCTCCTTTCAGAATAATTAATTGACATTTCAATACCTAACCTTCTTTTCCCTGTAAAAGCCGTCTTTTTTCTCTAATCAGATCTTGATTTTTGAGTCCTAATTAACTAGTCTCTGGTTGTTTCCTCTAGCCCTCTCTGGGCTTGGAAGCAACTAGCCTCTCCCACCTACCCCCACATTGTTGATTCCCTTTGGTACACTGCTTTAGAGCCAAGTTTCCAAATTTGATTCTCAGATTGTCCTACATATCAAATTGCTACAATGGGAATGGAAATTACTTGGACTGAATAAATGAACATCAGATTGCCCATTTTTACCCCACATTCTCCATATTTATTACAAACTCAGATTCTGAATTGGATTGTGATAGCGCCATAACTATTTGGCCATGGTACCTTCTCTTAGAACTGTTTATTGATGTTGGCATTTTGAATAAGTATGATCTGTGTTTTAAAACCCTTTAATTATCATCATTTAAATGTAAACCTCATAGCATTACATATTAATTTCAACTCTTTGATATTGTTTATGTTTGTTGAATATCCAATTATTGTTTTAGTAACCTTTAACTTAATTTGGCAGTAAAAAAAAGAAAGAGTGCTTTCTGCACTGATTTCTTCGTTCCTATTCCTTTATATCTACCAAGTTTTATATTGTGATTTGTTAGTTTAAAAGGGAGAACATAACAATCAGTTACAAGTGTTTATACTTGATATAGAAAGTCTGAGAGAGAGTATGACATGAAAATAAGCTGCACTATAGGCTGAGAATAAAGTGCTACTCAATACAAAGAAACAATACTAGTACTGTAAAAAATAAATATAATAAAACTAAGAATAAACCATCATAGACAGAAATTATCTCTAGTTACTCCTCCGTGGTAACATATGAGCAATTAAAATAGTCATTTGATTTTCAGATATTAGCTAATAGCACTCAAATGGACCTCACAAGTCCCTCAAATGTACCTCATAAGGTAGGGCTCCTGTGAAACTGCAATAATATTGCAAAGTAAGTGCACAAACAAAGTCAATTGAGTTATCTTTTCCATGTCCTACAAATGGGTAGATCTTGTTGTAACCCCTCCAGGATTATTAATGTACAGTGGAAATATCCCTAGTCTTCTTAGGAAAGCATTCACTTCTGACAAGTACCTAATATATTGCATGGAATCCTCATGTGTGATCATGGGAGATTTAGAATGTGATGCCTTAGGGTCTCAGACTTATGGTCATGCTTCAATAATTGTACCCAGGCCAGAGTTGTTTGTGTCAAATTAAATGTTAGAAAATGGGCTTAAAAAGAATATTGTGACTGTTCTCAGACAGTCAGGAATTGTACGAATACATAAAACAAAGTCTCTATGTAAGATTTTCAGTGGCTTAGGAAACTTATTCTAAGTTACCTCCACCCACCTACATGTAATTTTAGAGGTTACAATACTGTTTAAATAGTATTTTCTTGTAAAAGTCGGTGGGTGCTAAATGTTGCCTTGTTTTGCAATTTTTTTTGTTTATTTCTTACATTCAAAGCATGTGCTTTTGCATAAACATAAATCTGCTATGACAAATCTTACTCTACAGCTTGAAGTATAAACAGTCTAACTTAGCCTAATTAAGGAAATTAGAAATTATGGTAGCTCACAAAAACAATCTACACATTGTACATGTTCCAATTAAATATGAACATGTACATGAATTGATCTTTCAGATATATGAATCCTGAGAGTCAGTGAATGTTCTGTGTTGTTAAATGCTTATTCAAATTCAGCAGTTTCTGTAGAGTGTTCACATGTCAAGCGTGAAAGGTTGTAGTTGGATGTCATATTTCTTCCATCATTCTAACTCACAAATATTCTCTATTACCTTTGACCTATACATATAGGACATACACACACACACACACATATATAACAAATGTTATTTATTTATTTATAAGAATGTAGTATATTCTGTACAGAAAGCATTAAAAAAAAAAATCATACCTGAAAACACCATAGATATTATTTGATACATGACAGTGTTGTTGAAAGGATGTTTTCATTTTTCTTTTAAGAAATACCTTTACTTTTTTTTTGTCAAACCATTTAGTAAAATAAGTATTTTGTCTGTCACAACTCCACCTTTCTGAGGGACTATAGTGGAAAAATAATATAATTCACCTTATTACTTATTCATTATTTGTTTTTATAAGAACCATTGTTAGAATAATAACTCATTTACTGAACTGTGGTTTAAAATAACTTAGTAAAATGTATATGACCACAACAAAAATAGAAAATGAAATAAATATAGACCTTAAAGATAATTATTTAAAGCTTTTATTATATTCTTAATGACATGCTGATTTAGCAATTAATACAACTTATTAGAAAAAGTGAAGTCTCCTGAATGAGCCAATTCTTGGGCTTATGGCACCCCAGTCAGTATATTTTCTGTACTCTCCAGGTCTAAGATAATACTGGCGGCCCCTGTAATTTGGTTCCTCGTAGAACATCCAGTAGCCATCAAGTACCTGGCAGGAGTGGATGTCATGGTAACGGAATCTCTCGTTGACATTAGGACAATCTTCAGTAAACTCCATCATCTGACCTTGAAAATCTTCCCTCTCATAGACCTTCACTCTGAATGATCCATGGTGCTTTATGAATAAAAAATATTTATAAACAAGAGTACAATGATTATATAACTTCATATAAACATCAAAAATCTATACAATAGTATAGATTTTTGTATCAATGTTAACCCCCCCCCCGTTACCTGACAATGGAATTGTGAATTGAAGATATATTCCATAACATAATTAATAATGGTAACAAAAGGATATATTTGCAAAGGTAAAACAATAATTAATTGATAATTGGGAAATAATTTTTTTTGGACTGAATCATAATATTTTTATAATATGCTCTGGTTAATATATTTACCTGTGGGCTAATACGGCAAGATCTGATGGAGTCATTGAAACCCATCCATTGCTGGAAATTAGGATATTCTCCCCTGCTTAGGTAATACTGGTGTCCTCTATAGTTGGGGTGCTCATACAGGATCCAGTTTCCACTTTCCACTCGGACAGAATTACAGCGATGAAAATATGAGGACATATCTGGACACTCAGAGTTGCACTCATAAGAGCGGCCCTGGAAGTTACGATCCTCGTAGAAAACAATCTGTGAAAGAACCATGCATTTGAACATTTTAGATTTTTCAGATTATAATTGTTTTAGTGGTTAATAATTTCATTTAAAAATGTTTCTGGTTTGATTACTTGATGCTATAGATTCCTAAAAACACCAACTATTACCCTGTTTAAATAATAAAGTGTAGGAGATTTATACATATAAGTTTAGGGTAGAATTGGAATATAAGTTTTTGGTACATTTTGTGTTTTTGATTGGTGAGCTTGCATTCACTTTCACATAATTATAGCAATTTATTACAGTGAATAGTGGCATCTACTAGTGAGTACTGAGAATGTCCTGCTTCTTGTATTCCATGGACTCCTCTGTCATTTTAACATAATCCTAGAAAAAATTTAATCAAACACGGAAACAATCTTAATCTTGAGTCTGAAAAATGTGAATTATGTGTTCTGATTAATTCTTTTTCGATGAGGCATCAAATGTCCAAAACTGGTTTACGGAATATTGTGTTGTTATCTTTTTGACCTAAATTATGTCACCACAGTATATTATTCAGCAGATAAAGTTTGCTGGCTTTCAGTGTAAGCTTTTTTAATATTAACTGTTTGGTTCATTTAAAAAAAAAAAATCTGTTTATTTTTTCCAATATTTCTTGTGTTACAAATATTTACAATGTTCAGATCATCTTACCTTTCCCATTTTCAGTGATGGTTGATCTGTTCATGCAAGTTGTGCTGTTACACAGAATGAAGAGCCTTTATATACCATGTATCTTGCTGATGCTCTAATACATTGAAAGCAATGGTGAGCTGGTTTCTTTTCAACAGTAATTGAAATCTATAGCTATTGTATACTATATGCTTTAGTATAGCTATTGTATCCTATATGTTTTTTTTGTTTGTTTACCTGCTGGAACAAGCAGTTCCTGGTTCTAAGAGAGATCTAGAGAAAAATGTGACAGGTCTTTTCTTTTAATAGATTATTTCCACTGTGACCTGGAAAAAGCATTCTAAAGCACATTTTAGAAAAAAAAAAGAAAAAAGCTTTTACATTGAGGCCAATTGTTCTGCAACTTGTTTAAGTTTTTTTTTTTTTAAAGATATTATTATTATTGTTATTGTAACGGCTACCCAGCTGGAAAGGGGTATCTGCCGTTGGAGACGTCCTTTTCTAGGCAAGCTGCTGTGAAGTAATGGAGTTCTTATTCCCATCCACGATATCCAAGTGTATAATCCGGCAGTGCTGTAAAATAAGGCAGAGTAACGGTACCATAAATCCCCTCCAAGAACGAGACAAGGCTACATTTTGAAGGGTCAAGTAGAACTGATGTTTATTGACAGGGGTCTCCTTTTATGCAATGGTGCCCTCTGAAAGGCTACACCCACATAATTAACACAACAGCCAATTAGATAAATGATTCAACCCCCACGTCTCCTCCCCTCAGATAACATATAACATAATTAAAACAGACACAATTTTAACCACATTCTGGATGTACCCCAAAAACAGGGGGTACACCTTTAAGTCCAGCACCGCTTGATAGCTCTCACTCAGGGGAACAACATGTCCAAATTTCAGCCCATTCGGTTGAGGGGTTCGGGAGTTATGGATCTTTGAAGTTTTGACCTACCGCAAAGGTTTTCTAGCCGAAAAGAGTTCCATAAGTTTTGGCCTTGCGGTCGGTCTCCGTTCGTGCATTAAAACCCCACGAACCCCTTGCCATCCACAGTGATCCTGGTGTTCGCTAGAATCCCTATGTGAGCTTAAACAAAACTACCGAATGGCCGGTTATTATTATTATGATGTTAGAGGTTACATGTAACATGCAATTTTTTACTAAAGTAAATTCATGTTGGTTTTACCAGTCAAATGCATCAGCCATAATCACAGCCATTTTTTCATCCTATTACACCTTCTGAACTCAGGCTAGAATTGTGTGTTTGTATTTTCAACATGATCACAATCCAAAACATTTGAACAATAAAAAAAAAAAAGTTACAAACTTGACTTATCTCTTATTGGTATTCACATTATCTCATCATCATGGAGTTAACAACAAGTAAATCTTGTTGTGGAGTTAACAGGTAAATCTAAAGTAAATAGTGCTTTTTTATAATACTTTATTTTTGCAGTGCATTGCATACATAAAGTTATTCAGCGATATCGGTGATGTAGACAAGAATAAAGACGTGTTAAACTTAGCAGGATTTATGCACTATTTTTGTTAAACAAGGTAATTGTAAACCGAGGGTATCAGAATACAATACAAGTTGTTAGAGATTGTGAATAAGTGAAAACATGTACTGATAATCCTCTGTTGGAGGAATATATATGTACATCTTGGGAATATACCCTGGTTTGTATCAGGTAAACTGAATGCTTGTTGGCGTATATATAAGTGTAGGACAAGCTTTGACAAGTTAGATGTGTCAGTATGGAGGCATGTTAGTAGCCCCTAACCAAGGGGGCTGTGAGGGGGGGCAGGTGTTTTACGCCATATATTAGAGGTTGAAGGCCTAGTAATTAGTCCAGTTCATGGTACCGAAGCTTGTGATCCTCTTGCCCTAGGGACAAAGGGAGTGATATTATCAGGGTCCCAAGATGTTACTGGATGTGTTTCAGATGTGGTTACATCTGGTAGGGACAGTCCCATTTTTTAAGAATGTTGATGCTTCCTCCATCGATGTAAGGATGTGTGCAGATCAGGAGTGGGTTACCACCAGAGAGCTGTTAGTTCCCCATCTATATGCCAGCCCTGCTGATTGCAGTTGGGTTGTGAAAGTGTATAAGATTTCCGCCAAGGTAAAGTGGCTCTTGTAAGGTCATCAAATGTGAGAGGTGTTTTGCCTTTCAGGGCAGTCATTATGTGGATTTTGTCATGTACGGTGATGCAGCGATGTATGACATCTCTTATCATATTTGGGTTTGAGTGGATGTTGCTGGCGACATGGTAGGCTCCATCGATAGTTAGTCTCTTTGCCACTGCATGAGGTAGAATGGCACCCAGTAGGCATTGGATGTAGTGTGCTAATTCTTCTGCCATTACAGTGGCTGGGATGCCACAAATTTTAATATGAGTGCGGCGTTAGCGGTCTTCCATGGCCTTAACTTTAACTGAGAGGGTTCTTTGTTTGTTGTGTACTGAGTCGCTGAGAGTGGTCATTTTAGTGTGTATATAAGCAATGTCCTCCTCTGAGGCCTGTACCTGGTCTGTGACAGCTTGCACTTCAGTTTTAAGGAGAGCGGAGTCCGCCGTTAGGAGTTTATGGATGTCCACTAATAAGACCCTCAGGTCACGTTTGGTGGTAGGAGCTGAGTCATCTGAGGGGTTGGCAGGTGGAGATTGCAGAGAGTTCTGTGCTTTCTCCAGCTCCTCACATCCCTCTGTGGGAGCTTGGCCAGATACAGGCAGGTCTGTCACTGGTGCTGGCTTGTGCTGGGCAGGCCTCTGTAATATAGCCCCTATGTTTCCTATGGAATTGGGCTTTTGTGATCGCCACCCCATGGTTGGTTTGTTGTCTTGAGTAGGAGATGGCGTGGGAGGTGAAGCCACAGCGTGTCTCTCCACAGTGTTTCCACCAATGAACTCTTCGAGGGCTCGGAATCTCAGTGTGTGGTAGGCCGCAGATTTGCACTACCTCTTAGGCTGTTTTGGGGCAATAAAGAAAGGCATCTATCAATGCAGCCTGTGTAGTATTTTCAAGCTAGGTGGTTTTTGGAGCTGGATCAGTGTTAGTTTTGTGAGGATGAGGCAGATATGGAAATTTCCTGAGAAACTGAGTGAAATGGCATTCGATCAGATTTTTATGGCATTCTCCGCCCCCTAAATAGTATTTTTTGTGGTTACATCACATATTTAATATTATTATTCTTAATAATCTTAATTTTATTTTAACTGTAATAAAATCACATCCACACTTTTGCATGCATAGACATTTACCAACAAAATACAATAACATACTACAAACAGTTGAGAGGAGAGAAGGCTGAGTTCTATAAGAGAAGCATGTATCTATCCTATGCAATTTATATATTAGATCATTATAAAAATAACTCTCTTTTAACTATTATAGCTGAAAAACATAAGTGCTTTTTCAAGACAACGTTCTCGTATTCTTTTGTTTTTAGCTGATGAGTTATTAATTCAACTCCATTGTCCATCTTAAGTTGGAAAATGATTTGATCTTTCCATTGTGAATTCATAATTTCTTGGGATTGTTTCCAACCTCTAGCTAACAACGGTTAACAACTAAAATACCATACTCTGCCATTGCAGTATATGGATATTCATGTTTCAGAAATGACAAAGCAAAAAACTATAATTGTTGCTGGAATCTACTGCCCACCTAGCTAACCAGTGCATGCTTTTTCCGATATAGTCCAATTCCTTTGTGAAACTGTAGCTCAAAACCAAAAAAGTGAACTGTTAGTTTTTGGAGATTTTAATATTAATTGGCTCTTAATAATTAAAAAATGAAAAATCAGTGTGGACCACATCACAGCCCAGTAATGTTGCTGTAGCTCATTTCGCAAGCAATTGCTAAACCTGTCACTACCCTAATCAATCAATCCCTGGTGTCTGGATATATACCCAAACTTTTGATGACTGCAAAAGTAGTACCAATGGAAAAAAAGTAGTACCAGTGGATTGCGTTCTCATCTCTTTTTTAAACATTATTCTGTTTGAATACTAAACAAATCACCGAATAACAGACCACCCATACACAATAATTACATCCCCAAAACATATATTTGATAACTGAGTACTCCTTCAAGTCCTATATACCTGATAGCCTGAATCTGAGTGCTCAACATATCCAGAAAGCGCTCAGATCCCATAAACACAGCCGAAATGCAAGTGGGGTAAAATTTAGACCGTGCACGAGGTGCCTGCCCAAAAGATTTCCATGAAATTAGGCTGAACGGTCAGTCTGCTTCGGGGGTACAAAATGCAATAAAGTACCGAACATAAACATTCATGAATATGCCAAGTTTTGGTCTCACCGAATGCCTTTCAATTTCAACACCTTTTCCCGAACTTCGATGGAGGTGGAAGTTCCAGCGGTGTTCGCTTGTCGAATGTCTGATTTTAGTTCCATACACTCAACACTGTGTGCCACTTGTTGACCCTGTAAACCTCTGCCAACACCTCAGTAACTGCAATAACACCAACTTTCTAAGCGGTCGGCTGGTTGGTCGTCATTCGTATGTGCGAACAAGTGGTGTTTGGTCGTCGAGTGTATGGAACTAAAATCAGAAACTCGACAGCGTAAACACCTCCATCGAAGTTCAGGAAAAGGTGTTGGAATTGAAAGGCGTTCGGTGGGAACAAACCCCCGAACAAGAGACACAAACTAGGCATATTCAGAAATGGTTATGTTCTGTAATTTATTGCATTTTGTACCCCCGAAGAAGGCATTTCGGTTGTGTTCGTGGGATCTGATTGCTTTTGGGATATGTTGGGCGCTTAGATCCAGGCTATCTAGGGATATAGGACTTGAGGAAGTACTTAGTTATTAAATATATTTTTTGGGGGTATAAGTATTGTGTATGTCCTGGACCTGAGAGTTCATGTAATTATTTGTGTGTTGTACAGTAGTCTTCTCTCAGGTTCAGTGGGGAATGCCCCTGGAATATGTTACAGTAAACCGCTTTCATGGGAATGCACATAAAAGGCCATGTGTGGTCCCTATTAAATCAGTTACAGTTTTACCCTCAACACAGAGCCTTGTCTTGTGTTTGTAAGAACAGCTATAACAGCTATATCACCACTCATGGGTTTATCACTTTTAGGATTTTTGTAGCTCTACTCACACTTGGGGGGAAAAAGAACATCTCTGGCGGCGAAACCCTTCTTCCCATCTGGGTGTCCGCCACATATTGTGGCAGCAGTAGGATGGTTCTTTTTCAGCAGAGAAGATGCTACAATGAGCTCTAAAGGCGGAATAGTGGATGGAGAATCGGTATGGACAACTGAAATCATCCACCTTAAAGGATCTGTTGGAGAGCCGCGGCCGAATGGCAA